TCCCACTCTTGCATTTTCTCCACTTAGTCACTCGTGTCATTTCAAATTCACGTACACATCCTCGTGGCAGAAGATTGGTATGTACACTTTGCAGTCATAACCATAAATTACGGGGACAAAACGATTGAAAAACATAACTATATGTCTCAATCAAAGCAACAGTCGTGAAAAAATGTCTGTTTATATGGTCTAGAAATTAAATTGCAAGAAGGAAAATAGAATGATGGACACTTCACTTTATTCACCACTTGATTATTGGGAGAAAAAAAGGAGGTTTTGAATGATAAGAAAGAAGCCAAAGAGCCTTTCACAGGGTCTCCAAGGATAAGATTATGAATTTGAACCCTCAATGAACAATAAAAATAACACCTTATATTCAATTTTATTTAAACCCGCTGGGTTAGTATTAAAATGATACCAGCCGAATTAAATTGCTAATTTTCAGATATATCCCTGCTGCTAGTGTTTGGTTGAACATTATGGGAAACAAGTTCTGATAATTTTGGTGAATTTCAACTGAATTTGGAGTAGGTTTTCTGTATGCAGAGACATAAATCAGAAGCTTCAATGCTTTTTTTTTTTTTTCCCTTTTTCTTTTTGTTTGAGGAAACTATATGCAACTTAATTGTCTCTTTAAGATCAAACTATATTCTGAAAAAATCAAATGTCTTGTCTGCTTTAATAGGTTGCGTCTAATCTGATTTAACAAGAACTATATACACATAACAATGTTACTTTTGCCAATAGCAAGCGCACCGGATGATTTTTGGCTACGAAATAGATATCAACGCCTGGAAGATCTTTACCACGGTTCATAGAACATCAAGGAGAGTTAGGAAGGGGCTTACAGCATCCACGTATGCTTAAGTCGGTGTGAGAGAGAGAGAGCATATGAGAGTAACTGTTTTATGCATACTTTGAACTATTTATATCTCGAGGTTGTTGATATGGATAAGTCATAATAATTTTTCGGCTAACAAACTTGACAACTTTTNCGTCCACGTATGCTTAAGTCGGTGTGAGAGAGAGAGCATATGAGAGTAACTGTTTTATGCGTACTTTGAACTCAAACTGTGGACTATTTATATCTCGAAGTTGTTGATATGGATAAGTCATAATAATTTTTCGGCTAACAAACTTGACAACTTTTTTAAAGTAAAATCCTCTCATTGGCTCACGTGTACGACGGGACAGTTATGTGGGTAGACTATCATATGGTGACTTTACGCCACATATTTATTAGGTCTAATAATAACCTGTGACTAATCAAAGTAAAATGTCCAATGATGACTACGATTAGGGTTAATATCCAATGATGATATCGCTCAAGGTATTGCATGATTGGTCCACTTGTAACACAAGCCGATTTGGCTGATGTCGGTAAACCTTCGTAATGATATCGGTGATGTAATCGGGCAAGAGAGTTCATCCTCCCCCAGGCGTCTGCAAGCCTTGGAGTAGCAAGTTCTTCTCTCGGGCTTTATCTACTCGATAAATGATGTGTACAGGGTGGGCCTCCTCTTAGTTCAGATGTTAGATTGATTGAAATAAATAAGTGAGAAACAATTTTTCTCTCATTTTGAAGAGGTTGATTGCAGAATTGAATCCACGGCGTATCGTCCGAACAAATTAATACTTGCTTTCGTCACAATTCCGGCCTCTAAAAATCTGTGAAATATTTTTTGTTTGTATGATTTCATAGAGGTTCCAATTTCATTCCATCTTTTAATTGTCTGTATGATTAAAAACATATAGAACTTTAAATTTTCTCTAATGGGCCAAGGACAAGTCTGAAAATGGGCCATGTCTCTTTGAATCTGGGTTTAGATTGTGGAAAACCATTAAAACTCGTCCATGAAACCTGCTCAACCTAGCCCAGCCCACTCAACAAGCAGGCAGCAGGGTGATGATAAAATTACTAGGACTTGCAATAAAGAAGTGCATTCGGTTCATTTTTTCAAATATTTAGTCAAATAATTGAGAAGTAATACTAAAGTTTAGTCCCCGAGCAATGTTATTTAGATCTAATTTATTGATATAATGAATTATTACCATTTTATTGATAGTGGGCCCTTATACTTATTAGAACCCGTTACCAATTTAATAATTATGATGCATTAAATCGTAGGATAAGATATTGAACAAATGTTTGACATAAAACCTACGCTGTGAGCAAGTCATTAGTACACAAACCTGAGCAAGCAACGTAATAAAAAAGCGAACAAGTTCTATATATTTATTTATTTTTGTGATTGAGAACTCTTCCATCCATCTTTTTCATATTTAAACTTGTGATTACAACACAAACTTACATTATGTGGAATCAAATACCAAGCAGTTAAATCCACGAAGCGGGAAAAAGCGAACAAAAGGCACATATTTTTATTTTATTTCTGCGAGTTAATACATATCAACATACAGGTGTGTCCAACTACATCTGCTGACCATTCCAAGCAACCCACCCCCCCCCCCCCCCCAAAAAAAAAAGGAAAAAAGAACA